CAGCCTGGCTGGGGAATGCTGGGAGTTGAAGTCCACTCATCTGAAAGTTGCCAAGGTTGAGAAACACTGGTCTAGACTAAGCAGGTTTATAAAATCTTAAATCAACTTAAGAAAACAAAGTCTTTTTTTTTCTTTCCTTTTAACTTTCAGGGAAAAGAATATATGCAGTATATAGTGTAAACGTGAAGAGTAGATACTGCATGCTAAATTACAATACTCTGGAGTGGCTGTACAGTAGGTGTGTGCAGTAGAAAGAAAAGCCACACGTGTTGTATCACAACTACAGTATAATGGATTTATCCGCCCAAAAAAAGAAGAAATGCATGCATTTCCTATGCCTTGGACTAAATAACCGAGAACTCATCTGGGGAGTAGGTAGGATCTGTGCAAATGAGCTTTGTCTCTGTTCTCTGGCACTTGCAGATACAGCCAGAAGTCCTTTAATGGTAGACTTTGTCAAGTATATAAAAAGTCCATTAAAGCTTTGCCAAAGCCTAGGCGTACGAACGTGTGTGGAAAAATCTTCCCTTTGTCACGTATCCTTCTGACATCTTACTGTGGGATATCTTAGTGCTCCCCAGGCGTACTGGACTGCACCCCCCAACATATCCAACCAAAGCAAGTAGACTTATTGGCTGTGAATGATGGATTTTGCAGTCTGACACGCCCAGAAGGCACGCCACTTTGCTATCAAACGATGGTACTGGGACCCTCCCCAACGTGAAGGAAATAACTGAGCATTGAAAGAGCTGGCATATCTGTCATCGCATTCTTAATTTACGTCTCTAGTCCATAATAGATGAAGAGTCTTCCTGAATACAAGGTGCTTAAAAACAAACTTAACCCCTGGATAGCGCGTAGTTCACTTATTCTCTACACGGTTGCAGAGACGTGCACTCAGATTTAAACTTCGCAAAGGACAAGATAATAAATACTGGGGAAATATACCTGCTCACAAAAACCAGGTCGCAAAATTGTCAGCACCCTTTTCTCATCACATTGAGCAAAACCTAGTCAGCACAGCGGGCTAAGCTCTGCAAAGGCTTTTTAAAAAATTTTTTTATGAAAGACAACACTCAGAACAACTGATCTGGATTTCTATGTTTTAAAGGTTATTCTTCGCTCATCTATTCTGGCTGTTGTGTGTTCACCATGTGCTCTCTGCAGAAGGAACACTCTGAACTTCCTTGCAGACCCACACAGTCCTCCACTGCCTTTCTGCACAAAACAACATATTCAGCAAGGATGAAACGTCTCTCCCGGTATCAGAGCGACTGAGGCACAACTCCACTGCTTGCTGCTGATGGAAAACCTGCGCAGGAGATGCGCTGTGAAAATCTGCCTACTCAAGACTAGCACGACCCCGTTTCTGCAGTGCCAAACTTTCCCTGCAAAGCTCTTCTTAACACTGATTCTCCCCCCAAGTCTGCTCCAATGCAAACAGTGGGTATCATCGACCGAAGGAGTGTGGCCATCACTCCGTTCGTGCTCGAAATCCAGTAGCTGAAGGCCTGGAAAGGGACCTACTTCTACTCTTTTCTGCTGCTACAGCATGTGTGTGTATGTGTGTGTGTGTGTGGTGGGGGGGGCACGCGCACCTGAGAGCCAGAACGTCTCCTTCATTTCTCTGTAACAGTGCTACTTGTTCACCAAGGGAGGAGCGGTCTTCTCATCTGACCTAGCTTCGCAAAATCAGAGCCTTAAAACAGGCCCTGGTCCTCATCTGGCTGCCTCGGGACCGCTGCTCTGCTTGCAAAGAGAGAGGAACACTACTGGAGATGCAACTAGACACGATTAGCACCCACCCAAAAAGACAAGAGTTTCACAGCAAGACGCCAGTGTTTGGTTGTGAAAGCTGGTGGGGGAAGAAGGGACCTCGCTCGCATTTCAGCTGTTTTCGTCTACCTGCAATTCTCTGTTTATCGCTTTTCTTTTTCCCATAAGGCAGGAGAGTTCCCTGCCTACTCCAAACTAAAATAAAAAGAGATATCTGAGAAACAAGGCCAGCTGAAAGGGAGTTTTCTGAGTGTGATGGCACCAGAGGAAGAGACAACGGTATGTAAACAATTGATTCCCAGACGCTTCCTCCAGCAGTCAAGGTCCTGAGAAAGAAAATAGTACATTAAAAAACAACCAACCGAAAACTAAACACGTAACAGCTGAAATACACACAGTCCGGTTAGGTAATATGTATTTTACCCTCAGACTGTGGCACTCTGATTTTACAAAGGGGTTATTTCCCTGGGGGCAAAATAAACCTCTCTCAAACCTCTGTATTTTTTCTATTTTTGCAACAAAATAGCAATGCAGGTTTTTCCTCCTTCCATTTTGGAAAAATCATTTCCCCTTCAGTGTGGAAGACCTTACTGACTAAATATCCATGTAGGAGAGAGATTGTTTTGCATATCTATCTGTTAAGATTCTATAGTCTGAAACTGAGAACAGCGCAAAGAAAATTTCTGGAAGCATCTCAAATGTCATATATAAATTCATATATACAAGAATTGCTTGGCTAAATTGGGAGCGCAAGCACTGGATTTTGCCATTGAACGTAACAGTCACAAGGTACAGTGAATAGGTATGTAACAAAATCTTAATTTTCAGTTCCCTTTAGTTTAATGTGAGGCAGCCATAGTAGGAAGAAAAGCTTTGGAAACTGACAGGAAATCGAGAAAAGGAATTTGGCTGCTGTATAAATAGCCTTTTGCACTTACTACTAAATTAGCGGGTAAAAACTTTCACAACATTGCTGGAATTATCAAAACAAGTAGTTCTTGTATTTTTCAATTCGTATGTACAACAACTTTTTTAAAACAACACGTAGATCAGAAGTGAGATTTTTTTTTTTAAATGATCCAGGTTAGATCTGTAACCCTCAGAGAAATGCCACAATGTTGTGAGTGTATAAACAATCTCGATGCCACAATTGGGCATAACAGCTTTGTTCTGCCAATAACATGATCATCTTTTATGTTTTCTTTTGAAACCCATTTGATTGAAGGACAAGCCCTTGTATGTAGAGTACACCCTGGTGAAAGTGCTGCTTGGCTAAAATATTCCAGTACGATTTCCAGAGTAAACAACTTCACAGAAGTTAATTAACAAACATTTTCTTAAAAAAAAGAAGAAGAAGAAGAAGAAGAAGAAGAAGAAGAAGAAGAAGAAGAAGAAGAAGAAGAAGAAGAAGAAGAAGAAGAAGAAGAAGAGAAATGTAAAAATTATAAAAAGAAAGCTGCAGAGGACAAATAGGGAGAGTTTTCTTGCCTGATAGCATGGTGCCCCCTTGCTTCTTCAGGAGTAGCCTGAAGTTTTAAAAGAAAAAGAGGGGAAAAGTGCAGCTATGAAGAGCGAGCTCACAGGGGAGAATGTTCCAATTTTAGATCATAGTTCTCTACTTTATGGTCTTTAAAAAAAAAATCACGTCTTAAAGAGGACTTATTTTTTCACTGTTCTGTACAAGCCCAGCTAAAGCTACATTATGAAGTGTTCAAGATGTCACCAGACTTAAATCAGTAACGAACCCAAATGCTAACATTCTCAGCAGTAGGATGGCCAACACAATATCATGAGCATCTAAAGAACCGCGAACCAACCATGGTTTTGTACGTACAGAAACGGGAACGCTGTGTTCGTCGGGGCAAACACGGCCATGGCGTTTTAGGTGTGCGGTTTTGCAGAGAATCATCGGTGAGGCATTGGATGCCAAGCGACCCGGGGATTCTGCGGAGGGGGCTGGGCGACCGAGTGCTCTTGCAACACGTGCGCGGAGCTACCAAAGAGAACGGAGTGATTCTGCTTGCAACTCTGAGCAGGAAACAAGCAAGTACGTATGCGGAAAGACCCAGGCGCTTGGCTTTGCTTCGCTACCTAAAATTTGTACGCAGGCAAGTCGCTCCATACACAGAAAGACCAAGCTGTCAAAGAGAAGGGAGAGGGGGCAGGTAGGGAAGAAGGGACACATTGCTGCGTAGGGATGTTCCAGTGCAAAGCTCAATGCCCTGAATTAAGAGCCTTGTGTGGGGAGCGTCCTCACACCCTCTCTTTCCTCACACACAAAGTTCCACAGCTGAAGAGACAAGCAGCTTCAAACAGACGCATGACAACTTACTTTTGCTCCTATGAGCCACATCCTCCCAAGAAACTGCTGGCTTTAATGAGAGTTTCGTAGGCTTTCCTACAGAAGCCATCGCAAAACAATAACGACTTGGGGGTGTCGAACTCACTGAAAAGCCACTTTAAAGTTAAACCACGTCCAGATTCCACACTGCTTGTGAAAAGTGAACATTTGAACCTAGCGAAGTTGGTGACTCCATCGCTTCTCTCTCTTGTTATCCTGAAAGCTAAGACACAAGAAGAGTCTGATGTATCAAAAAGTCCACAGGAAACAAATCACCCCAACAGGATTTTCTTAAAAAAAAAAGAAGAAAAGAAAGAAAGAAAGAAAGAAAGAAAGAAAGAAAGAAAGAAAGAAAGAAAGAAAGAAAGAAAGAAAGAAAGAAAGAAAGAAAGAAAAGCTAACCATTTCTTAGCATGGTCACAAGCCTGAATGCAAAACACCTCTCATGTGTTAACCATTTTGCCATTTGCAACCGGCCTTAAAAAGTCATTCTGCCCTTCCACAATCCCATGGGCTGTTTTGAGAAGAAGGGTGCCCACGCTGGCCGACGTCGTGATGGGCAGGGAGATCCTGCTGCTCGTGGAGGACTCCATCGGTTGGCTGAAGCAGGATGTCGCTGGCAAGACTCCTTTCTGCTTCTCCCTGAGGAGCGGGCAGGGAAGATAAAAGAAAACCTGGTCGTAGCTCAAACACAGAAGCTTCTTTCTGACCCCTTCTTCCATGGGCATTTTGTAAAGAGGAAAGAAGGACAATCAGGTCACAGAGAGGCCTTCCACTGGTGGGGGAAGGCAAACGACCGGAACCCTACAACTACTAAGCCAGTGTTGGTTGCACCCAGCTTGCCCTTTATAATGTTGAGGCCGGCTTCCAGCCTCAGTCACAGCGTCCACTCGCGCTGTAGTGCGTGGTGCGTTAG